TTACATGCCTTAAAAGAATGTAGGCTGTCTAATGAATGTTGTAGAATCATGAAATCCAGTCCAATCTTACTCTGACTGAATTCCTTCTACAACTCTGTAATTCTAGTGTATCTTTTGCAGGCTGTATAAATGTGGGTATAGGTTTTGGAGATTATATATTTAGCTCCGGGTATAAGAAGACTTAGGAATTGAAAAGAAACTAAGTAGACTTTAGGTGTAAGGTATTTTTACAAATTTTTATATAAAAAGTAATATGGACTAGCTGTAGGAAAATATAAAAATCATTAAACAACACCGATCACATCACCTTGCTTTAAATAACATCAGTATAGTCCTTCTGGTCTTTGTAGTAGCTGTTGTTAAGCCATTTTAAAAAATAGAAAAAGGGAAGTAATAGTTTCCTTAAAAGTAAAATATCTTAGTTAAAATGATGTAAAAAGAGAAAAGGAAATGTAAAATGATATGGCACTTGAAACAGGGATAAGGAATATTCAGTCTAAGTCAGCAGCAGAGCATTGAGTGGTTACTAAAGACAAGGCAAATATGGTGACAGTAATGGAACCACTTTTGTGACCTCAGAATCCTCAGCGCTCAGGTGGTGACCAACAGATAATTCCATTCATTCACTCATTCATCAAAGGACTCAGCATAGTATCATATACTGGTCAGTCCCTAATAGACTGAAAAAAACTGCACCACACATTTACTCATTTATCCAATAAATTCACTCAACAAAAAATATCCAACTGCCTACTGAGCAAAAGCAAATTAAGCATGATCCCTGCCCTACGTAGTAATCTCTTGTCAACCTTAAGGTCTACCTTCCTGAAAAGTCTTTCTTAATCAAATTGTAGATTGGTACAAATTACAGTCTCTTATAAAACAGGGAGTTAAAATGATTTAAATGGCATTAGATATATTTGTAAAAGAATAAATAAATATTCCAAAAAGGATCTTCTTCCAAAACAAATCAGATTCATAGAATTAAAACCCAGACATGTTAGATAACCCTTCTCATTAATTGACTTCTACTGTTCAGGACACATTGCTGTGGTATTGTTTCCCTAAGGCAAAATCAGTATCCCCACAGTTTTAATATCTTGCAAATCTTTTGGGTCTTCATATTTTTAAGCTAGTCTTTACTAGCTTGAAATGTAATGTTGTTACCACTTGCATTCTCCCTGTTTGGTTTCAACATGCTCTGGTAACACCTGCTTTGTCATAAATGATCACAGTGCTTGAGGGCACAGGTTTCATGATCTTGATTCCACAGATGGAGAGGGTGGAGCATCCACACATGTACAAAGTCTCTCTCTGTAATATCCTCACAAAGACACACCTGTGATTTCCAAGAGTAGGGAGCTAAATTTCAGTTCATTAACAAGCCTGAACAAGCAACATATTTTTAAAATCAGGGTTGTTTATATGTACAAGACCCCATTATGTCTGTAAAAAAAAAAATTGTCTAAAACCTGGTATGGTACAGAATCCTATTTTGTTATATTATTCCAACCTTCCTCTGGGAAGAAATTAGTCCTCCTGATAAAAATACATAAGCAATTTTAGGGCTTAAAGGGTTTAAGACTTGTTCTGAGAAACCACTCATCTACGCTCCCAGTTGACTCTCACTCAGTGATTGTTGTGAAACATTATTTTCTATATTTCAACAAAGATTAGGTGGCCACCCTCTTTTCCTGTAAGTGTTATTCCCGGGAGTGAATCTTTGAATTGGCCTTCTAGAGGTCTTTTTGCTTGCATCGTGCTCATAATTAAATCCTCCAAAAACTTTTTTCTTAACATCTCAAAATCTCCATTAGCAAGTAAGAGTTTACAAAAAATTCACCTAGTGAAGAAGACAGCAAATTACAATGTAATGTAATGAATGCCACTTCATAGATACACCCAGTGTCCCATAAGGATGGAAGAAAAGTATTGAAAGCAGAATGGGACCAGCTTAAACCAAGAGAAACTGAAAGTAGGAGAATTTCTGTGAGTATTTTATGGACTACTTTTCACTCAGTTTGTTTTTTGTTTATTAATTTTAAGTCAGCTACCATTTCCTACCTTTTTTTTTTGCTTAAAGTATGCTGTTTTATCCACATTTCAGCTCAAACAAGCTTTTATGGAATAGCTGGGAATTTAACCAGGATGATAATATTACTAGGGGAAAATATTACTAGGGGAAAAATTCTAACCAAAAAAAAAATCCCAAATTGACATTTGAAACACAACCAATCTGTAAATCAAGATTTCTTGCTAATCTGTATGAGCGAATATAAATGGATGAAATAATTCTTAGGTAAATTCAGCTTGATTTTGCTCTGCAAGATCATTCTCAGAAAGAATTCTCTGATTATTGCATTGGAGTCCCAGATACCTTGATAATAGAAAGAATTTCAGCTGGTGGACATGATGATAACATTAGTCACAGAAGTTAAATCATCTGTTACAAATCAATCTATTGGCCTTCTGGTGTATGAATTAGTCTTTTGTTAGAAAAGGGCACATTAATGCTAAAATTAAGTCCATGTAAATATACACACTGTAACAGAACTGATCCAACTGTAACTATACTGCTTTAGCTATATATTGACTCTGTCCTTGGTGCTGGCCAGTTAATATTTATTGGCTCCATTATTTGTTGTTAATATCTTGGATAAAGTTACATCCAAAAAATTTCCAGATGACACTATTGACAAAATCAAAACTCAAAAATACCTACGCATACTAAGATGAACCAAAAGCACATCAATAAGAAATTAACTAAGGATAAGTATCAGATATAATTGCACAAATACAGGAAGATGTGCCTTAGTAGCAGCAGGCATAATAATATTTATTTTGTTAAATAAGAGGGGCTTTGAGGGGCAGTAAGCTTACTGTGGGTTAAAAGTGCTCAAAAAAACTAGCATGAATTCAGCCTATTTTCAAATGTAATTACTATTC